GGCAGACACCACCTTTTCCTGCCAAGATCCCTCTCCGATGGCTGCTGATTCCGCTGGCTACTGACTCTGCCCCTCTTACCGGTCTGGTTGAATGGTTGTCAGACTTCCATACAGTTCAGTTTCTGTCTGTCTGGTTGTGTTTTTGCTTCTAAATCTTTGTTGTCCTTAATTTGGTTGTGGGAGGAGGCACAGTGTTTCCACCTATGCCTCCGTCTTGGCTGGAAGTCCTCTGAACAGACATCTTTGGGGTCATTATTCAGCCTGCCACAGTTGGGGAGGTGACAGAAGTCTGCACTATTCCTATTCTCTACTCATATTTCCAGGCCATTACTCTACAACAGGTACCAGCAACTTTTTCCATAAAGGGCCAAATAATATTTTAGGCTCTGAAGGCCCTGTTGTAGGTCATGTATAACCATTTTAAATGTAATTATTTTAAGATGCAAAAACCATTCTTAGCTTGGAAATGGTACATAAACAGGTAGAGGACTGGATTTGGCCCTTGGAATGTAGTTTACCCAATTCTACTCTCCAGTTTCTTATAAAATATTATCTTAGCTCATGCCTCAACTAATGTTCTCTACTTTAACTTGCCTTTGTTATTCACAGATATGCAGCTGTCATACATAGTCATGAATTACTCACTTGGAGAAGTTTTAAAAAAATCAGGAATAGTTTCTTGAGTCCTGAATATGCAAAAGTATAATTCTGCAAAGTAATAATAACATCATAAAAAGAAAATATATTTCTGTTCATGCATCTTTCCTTTCTATCAAAAGTTCCTAATTCAGAAATGCATTTCTTTTTCATTCAAGGAACTCACTCACAAATATACAGATACTGCAAGAAGTAGAAATAATTTTTTCATTTCAAAGACATATATAAGACCTTGTGTCATTACACAATATGAGGCATTAGATACCCTCCATGAAAAGACCAGAGACTATGAGTAAAAAATGCAAATTATCTGGAGTACAAAGGAAAATTTTTAGTTCATCACCACATCATTTTGACTACACAGAGCTGGTTGCACAATTCTGAGTCTGAATGGACTCCCAAATATGGGTCCTGGCTTCAGGCCCAAAGAAATATTTTTTCTTAGAGTCTCAGAGTTCCTCGTGTTTTCCAAATGGGAATTGGAAGTACAGGTTATTTCTAACGTTATTGTTGTCAGTGTTAGGTCCAGACCTCTTTCTTCTGTTGAAAGAAAGAAAGTCAAGAGGACTAGATGGCCAGGAAAAGGGACTCTCATCTGGCAGTCCCCTCTCACAGTGACTGAGTGATCACTTCTCCAATAGAAAAGAGATTTGAAATGCCTCTGAGAGTCAAGTGCCTCAGATCAAGTGAAACTATGATGTTACACATAGTGATAATAAAGGATATATGATGTGACTGTTTCGGAGGCACAAGAGGCTCACTCCCAGCAGTTAAGTTCCAAAACTTTCCCTTTACTTTTTCAAGCCTGAGGGACTAGAAAATTGATCGGTAATGAGGTTTAGAACAGCCATTGTAATTTCAAGAAGGAACATGGATTCCTTATAAACCTGTAAGAACTCTGTAAGACTCCCAATGCTGAATCAAAGTTGAAAAAGTACACTGAGAGCCATACCACATGGTCACATACGAATTAATGTAGAAAAAGATGGCCAACTCTAAAGTTGAAAGAGGCAAGGAAATGATTAACAGCAGAGAAAACAATAAACTAACAATGAATGCTTTGAGGCACTATAGAATCACACACTACAATAGGCCTTATTTTCCATTCTCTGAGTCTTGTTACTTTATTAATTCAAAAAATTTTAAAAAATCATAAACTTTTAAATCCTAATTAGTGACAAAGTCATGATGCAGATTTTCAAGAAGATTTGAGGAGATTATCATCTTCCAGGCTGATACTAAATTTTTTAAATATTAAGTCCAATATTTAGGGCAAGGAGATAAAGTATCCTGATCAGCAGAGACCGATTTGGACTGGCATGCAATAGAGGACTGACCCTCTGGGACCCCTTTTCTGACTCTGATTTTAAAGAGGAGTCCATTTTTCAACTTATGCAATCTAAAATAGTTTGAGATGAGGAAAGATAAAAAATGAGGCTAATTTTTCTCTGCCTAAAACTGATTGGAAGAGCAAGTTTAACGGTCTTTATCAGAACTGCCACTTGGATGAGAATAATGCTGAAGCTTTCATGACAGCTCCAACAGAGGGCAAGAAGTAGTGCCTGAAACACTGTACTTCAGCAAAGTGAATTTAAGACATGTTTACATATAAGTAAAATGCTAGGATAGAAAGGAAGAAGTACCATGAGAAACATGTAAATAAATTTGCAAATATTTAGCATGAAGAGAGAAAAGGCAAGGAACATATCAACTATGAATCTGATATGAGTCATTGCAAAGGGAGATGGATAAATATCCTTGATGAACATAATGTAAGTCCAAGAAGCACAGAAATTTGAAAGTAGCCTTTTATGATTAAAATTCTCAGAAAATACATCATAAAGGCCATATATGACAAGCCCACAGATGATATCATACTCTATGTTGAAAGGCTAAAAATGTTTTCTCTAAGATCAGCAACAAGACAAGGGTGCCTCATTTTACCACTCGTATTCAATACAGTACTATTGCAGCCAGAGAAATTAGACAAGAAAAAAGAATAAAAGGCATCGGAACAGAAATGGAAGAATGGTATGATCTTAAATATAGAAAACCCTAAAGACTTCACCAAAAATCTCTCAGAACTAATTAATTCAGTAAAGCTGCAGGTTACAAATCAAAATACAAAAATTCATAGTTTTTCTATACACTAACAACTATTTGAAAAAGAAAGAAATGTATCCCATTTTTATTAGCACTTTTTATAAAAAGTGATAAAATATTTAGGACTAAATTTACCTGAGAGAGTAAAAAGGAAATCTGTACATGGAAAACTGTAAGACTTTGATTTAAAAAACTGAAGAAAACACATATAAATAAAAAATACCCTGTGTTCATGGAGTGAAAAATTAATATTGTTAAAAATATATATACTGTCCAAAGCCATCTATAGATTTAATGCGATCCCTGATAATTTCAATGGCACTTTTCACAAAATAGAAAAAAAAATCCTAAAATTCATGTTGAACCACAAACAACCCCAAATAGCCAAAGCAAGTTAGAACAAGATAAAAACTTGAGGCATCACATCTCTTGGTTTCAAATTATACTACAAAGCTATAGTAATCAAAACGGTATGGTACTGGCATAAAATAGGCCAATGGAACAGAATCAAGAACCTAAAAGAAACCATGTGTATATGGTTAAGTGACATTTGACAAGGAAGTCATGACTACTCAACAGGGAAAGGACAGTCTCTTCAATTAATGGTGTTGGTAAAATTGGATATTGACATGCAAAAGAATGAAATTGAACCCCTATCTTACACAGCTCACAATAATCAACTCAAAGTGAATTACAGACATAAATGTAGGAACTGAAATAGTAAAACTCTTAGGAAAAAAAAGTCAGAGAAAAGCTCCGTGACGTGGGTCTTGGCAATGGCAATGATGTTTTGGTGTATGGCAACAAAAGCATAAGCAACAAAAGCAAAAAGAAACAAGTGGGTCTACATCAGACTAAAAAGCTTCAGTACAGGAACATGCTCTTAAGGGAAGTTGGTGGGAGCTTTCCGAGACACCTACACTTCCTAACATCTCCTCAGATGTGTAACTGTCAGCTAGCACTTCTCTGTTGGAACTGTGAAAGCTGACCAGGGGAGCTGCACCAAAAGCACCCCTTCCATGCTGTCTTCTGAGGTGTATAAGCTGTGAATTTGTGCCAAATACACAAATACACGTAGAACCTGTGAGTTGTGTGGGAGTTTGATCAGTAGGGAGTATTCCAACATAGTATACTGGTACATGTGTATGACTATTTCATCTGAAGTAGAGGAAAATGAGGCCAGCAACAGAGAAGCAATGAGAGATGAGAAAGACTAACCTTTTGACAGCATCTGAACCTTAGGACGCAGTCACCCCTGAAGCCAGATTCAGTGCTGCCCTTCCCAGTTATATAAAAATGCTCTTCAGTTCCATATCTTCCTGTTGCAAATTAGTGTCCTGATAAGGACACTGGAACCAGGAGTGAGTGACAGACCTAAATTGTGAAACTGCTTGAATCAAGATAGGGAAGATAACAATGGAGGCTTCCCTGTCTCTGGCTGAAGAGTTGGAATCACTGGTACATAGAAGTAAAAGCAGTGGGTAGACTGTTACCTAGTGTATTTTTCCTCAGGCAAAGCCCTGACCGCCCTAGAAATGGCAACTTTATAAACTCGGTAGAAAGGCTTCAGGGTATTGGAGAACCGGGAAAGCTAACGCCCCAGAGCCTCCACAAACACCTCTACCACTGCAGTCCCAGTCCCTGCCTTACAAGGCTTGTATCCCTCCCCAGTTCCAGCTCTACATGCATCCTGGGGATGGAGGCAGCGCTCCATTATTTCATTTTCCTGTGAGCCAGAGACCAAGATAGATAACGTTCATCTACAGCTGAGGGGATTTTTAGCAATTGTTACTAGCCAGTGAGGCCACCCAAAACAATTGGGCCAGCCATTGAGGGTTTCAAGCAAACTGTATCGCCCCCTTGGAAACTAGAGATCTGTGATTGTTCACTTCTTAAGCCAGCTCTCCAAGCCTCTATCTCAGAGAGTGGGTTGCAAAACAGTAGAGACCCCAGTGGAGGAAGTCTGACCATCCTCTCAGGCATGGTGATAAAGCCAATGGACATGGCAGATCCTCCCAGTCGAAGGCTCTGAACCATCCTCACAGGCTATGGAACCCACTGCATGTCAAGGGAAGGGAGTGGGCAGATAGAATTCACTGTTTCTATGGGGCCAGAGGAGGCTGCTTCCTCCTCTGTAATCCATTTCTAAAAGTGGCACAGCCCTGCCTCTCTTCCCTCCCTACCAACCTCTCTTCCCTCCCTACTAACCTCTCTCCATATGGGGCTACCACCTCATTTCTAGCCTTAGGTGATTCTATTCTTCTGTCTGCTTAACAATTACTCAACTATTTTGTAACCATAACATATAACGAACAGAAAATGAGAAGCCTTTAGTTACACAGGGGCTATTTCTCCATTTTTTTTTACCAATTCTCCAATTATTTCAGGGGCCTGGTAAAAGACCAAACTCACTTATATAAATGGGTTGCCATTTAAGATAGTCACAATGACAGACATAAAACAAAAACGATTTCATGTAACATTTATTTTTTTTATCCCGTCCTAATTTTGGCTTTATTTCTCATCTCTTGTTTCAATTCTTTTCTTGGAAATCCAAACTTTTTTTAAAACAGAATGTTTAAAATCATGATTATCTAGAGTCAAAATAAAATTTTCTTCTCTCCAAAAAGGAGGGGGGACACAGCTTTTATTCTTATGTAGCATTTTCAAATACCCAAGTTAATATATACTTTTAATAAACTATTTAAAATAAAACCCTTCATCCTTTGAGGTTATTGGCATTGTCTAGTTCACTGACACATATCCCATAATACATTAGTTCTATTCATTTTCAGAAATGAAGTCGAAAATACACTAAAAAATAGGATTTTAATCCCTGAGGTGCCGCTTAAAATGGACGAGGTTGCCGTTGCAACACATGACATAAAAAAATCAGCCTTAAATAATAAGCGTGGTTCACGTTCTCTGGGTCAGAATCGCCTCCGCAGCACGAAGTGACTTAGAAAGTTGGCTTTCCTGGGTCAGGTTCACCCTGCTGCTCCTACCCCCACGCTACCGTCATCTCTCCTTTCATAAAGGAGTAACATGTAGCTGTGAAGTCTGCAGAAACTTCTGAGATCCTCAGAAATCATGAGAAACCACAGTCCTGTTTCTCTAATCTCCATCCACATTGTTGGAGAGAGTTCTGGAGCACCATTCCAAGACCTGGGAAGGTTGATAAACCGACTCGGTTTTTCTACTTCTCCATAAATTTAGGCAAGAAGGAGAAATCGGTCCTTTGGGCTAGAAAACGGGGTGCACTGCTTATCTCCGGCTTCCGCAGTAACCTTAGCAGAACCGCGTTCAGCTCTCCGTGCCCACCCTCCCCGCAGCCCTTCTCCCTTCCCTGCGGCCTCCAGCGGTGCGGGTCTGCTCCCGCCCCTAGTAGTAGCGGTTCAGGCTCCTGGTCCCGGGAACCTCGGGCTGGCCATTCAGCCAGATCTCCCTGAGGATGCGCTCCCGCTCCTCCAGCCGCTGGGCGCGCTCCAGCTCCTCCGCTGAGGTGAAGACGTTCTTGTTCAAAGTCTTCTCAAAGCGACGATGTCTTCGGACTGAGATGTCAGACGCCGTGTCTGAGCTGCCATCCTCGCTGTCGCTGCTGTCGCTGCTGCTGCTCTCTTGGTCCTGCAGGAACTTCTTCTGCGGACGCCGCTGGCAGTCCATGTGGCAAGAGATCTTCATCACCAGGGCAGCCAAGGTGAGGATCAGCCCGATGCACACGCCCGAGACAAAGTACAGAGCTGCTCGCTCAGGGTTTTCTGGAGCAGGAGAAAGAAGAGAGCATCTGAGAGATGGCAACTCTAGCCCACCTCCTACCCCTCTCACCAGATCCCAAAGCTTTTATAGTTACAAATATAGCGACAAATTACATAGTGTATTCCAAATATAATTGCCCACCAGTGCTGAATCTGGGTAAGGAGTGCATGCGATTCTTTTACTTTGTTGTAACTTGAAATTATTTCAAAATGAAAAGTTAAAAGAAAGAAAAATTTTAGCATCTACTATTAGATGTCATCTGACCGAGAGCCTCTGTCTAAAGGTTATTTTAGTTTATACTAGAAAAATCTTCGCTTCTTCAGTTGCTCCGGCAGCCCCTTGAGTAACCTGTTAGTCACATTTGTAGGCAGCTGCTGCTTCTTCCTCTTCTTTTTCTTCTCCTTTCTCTTCTTCTCCCCTCCTCCCCCCATTCACTCCTCCTCCTCTTTGTTCTTTTTTGACAATAAATTTATAATTAATGCCAAGGACAAATGGTCTCTTTTATTCTAAGTATATCATCGCAGGACTTGTCTACAAAGGCAGGCAGTTTCCAAGGTGCCCCCCACCTCTTGGTACTCACACTCTGAGATGCAAGCACCTCCCTGTGAGGGCAGCTGGACCTAGTGGGCTGGGCTCGGCCCAGTGACTTACTCTAACAAATAGAATATGGCAAATGTGATGGATTGAGCCTAAGCTTAGGTGACAGAAGACTAACTTCCAACTTGCTCATGCTCTCCGGATTTTCTCACTTGCTCACTCTGATAAAGCCAGCTGCCATGTTGGGAGCTGCCCAATGGAAAGGCCCACATAGAAAGGAACTAAAGCATAGCCTCTGGCGAGCAGCCTGCAAAGAACTGAATCATGTCAACTGCCATGTCAGTGAACTTGAAGTGAACCCCCTGCTGCAGCCTTGAGGTGACCATAGCCCTGGCCTTGCAGCAACCTTGTGGGAGACTGTGAATCAGAGAACCCAGCCAAGCCAAATCCAGATCTCCGACCAAGAGAAACTGAGAGATAATAAATGTATGTTGCTTTAAGTCACTAATTTTTGAGGTAATTTGCTATGCAGCAATAGATAATTTATATGAACACATACTGAAAGCCAGTGTAGGCATTTTGGAATGACCGCCCCAGGTTAATTTGCAGAAGAGGTACGTGAACTCTTCCTTGGCAAGGGAAGAAAGTGATCATTCTGTAGATTTTAGCGCTCCATGGATATGGCTGGTGTACCCAGTGTTGATCACTGCATGACATGCTCAACAGAATGAGAGCTCTGGGTACCCAGGTCCCCTTTCTAGGTAAGTGTGAAAACATGGGATGTGCCTGGTCTTGAGTCACAGGGCACCGTCAATGTGACAAGACCTAAAATTCACACCAGCAATTTAGTCATCTATAGTCTTTATTTACCAGTAAGTATGAATGAAAACATACCTTGTTTGGTGGCTTTTTAAAGGCTATAAGTGGGATCATATATGATATACATTTGGTTTTTAAATTTAAGGATATTTCGTAGAGAGTTTCAGATATGTCAACAGCGTTGTTTTTGCCTGCTGCACAGTGTTCTGTGTTAGACCTACCAAAGTTTATTTGTTTGTTTGTTTATTTATTTAATTAGAAAAGGGTTTTTTTTAATTTTTTAAAAGATTTTATTTATTTATCTTTAGAAGGTAAGGGAAGGAGAGAGGGAGAGAAATATCAATGTATGGTTGCCTCTGGTGTGTCCCCTGCTGAAAATTGGCCTGCAACCCAGGCATGTGCCCTGACTGCGAATCGAACCACAATCCTCTAGTTCACAGACCCGAACTCAATTCACCGAGCTACACCAGCCAGGGCCTACCAAAGTTTATTTAACTATTTCCTTATGAATAGCATATAAATTATTTCCAAATTTCTCACTATTACGATCACTGCTAGAGTTAATGTCCTTGTATACATCTCTTTATGTACAAGCAGAATTACTTCTACAGGTTAGTTATCTAGAAACAGTTGCACCAAAGGGAATAGGCATTTTGAACCCTTGTTCATTCTACGTTGTATCCCACAAGGCTCTATCAGTCTAAACACAGCATATTGAACATACATGTTTATGACTCCTCTCCTCTCTGAAACCCGCCAAAATGCCAGGGGTGTGAATAAAATAAATAGAAATTTAGATACAAAGAGAAGAGTAGAGAAAGAAATAGAAAACACAAATAGTCAGTACAAGAACAGTCAGTAGCCCTGGCTGGTGTGGCTCAGTGGATTGAGCTCCGGCCTGTGAACCAAAGGGTTGCCGGTTCAATTCCTAGTCAGGGCACATGCCTGGGTTTCAGGCCAGGTCCCTAGTGGGGAGCATACAAGAGGCAGCCACGCATTGATCTTTTTCTTTCTCCCTCCCTTCCCCTCTCTCTAAAAATAAATAAATAAAATCTTAATGAAAAACAGTCAATGAGCGATACAAATGCAGTGAAAGGGCAGCAACACCAGCATCATGGCACATAAGCCATCTCTACTTTCTGTTCTCCTCCCCTTTGTAACAACTCATTAGGCATCTATCCACAAGCAGAAGTTTCTCTGTGGAACTGTGTTTTCCAACAACATGTGCCAAGGGACCCGGGAGGAGTCTCGCCCACATGTGCATCTGGTAACAGGCAGACTTCAGTTTGGGCTGCAGAACCAGAAGAGCCAGCCAACCTGCTCCAACCACCCGGCAGTTAGGTAAAACCTGGAGGGTGGTGACTTGGGCAAAGACCCACAGGCAGAATTTGTAAATCCATCCTTCCATGCTAGGAGATACTAGCACGCCATTAGAGCAAACAAACAAACAAAATGAGTAGGGATTCAGTAAAAAGGAGAAGAGAAACCTCCGGTTCTTCCCCCCAAGTGACAAAGCACAGGACTGACTATCCCACGGAGACCTCTCCACAGGGCGAAGAGAAGAGCAGTGTGTGAGTGCCCAGCTACCCCAGCTGGGTTGGATGCTGCAGGACAAACCCATTTCTCACCAGCAACTCCAGAGTACTGGAGCAGGGTCCCCATGACTGAAGGTAGGGAGGAGATTAAAAAAGACAGGTAAAAATGTCAAAGGGCATTCAAGTGACAGAGTTACTGCTGACTACACTCAGGAGTTCAGCAGGAAGTTCTCCCAGGAACCTCTGGGAGACCTCAGGGAAGAATGCTTCCGCCAGCTAGCAGGTACCCCAGTACCCCAAGTGCTAAACCCACATCTGTCCCCACTCTGTGGTGGCTCCCTGCACACTCTCCAAAATTGGCAGCAAGTAAGCTTGGTAAATAGACTGCTATCAGAAAAACAGAACGGGATCTGTGGGCAAGAGAGAAACCAGAAACTTGATCTATAGCACCACCTTCTGGAAAACACGACAGAAGTTTTCAGCAACCAGCCAGGTGAGTTGTAAAAACCATGCAGGAGTCACACAATGAATGCACAAATCAATGGAACAACAAATCAGTGTTCCTCTGTCTTTCTTTTCCTCTCTCTCTAAAATATCAACAAATAAAGAAAGACATAAAAGCTTAAGAATTCTGCTACAAGAAGACTTGCAGAGCAGATGTGTAAATATGAGGTCAGAGAGTGCCCCAGCGAACAGTATACACCATGTGAGGGCAACTAGTAAAGATCTAAGGAGGTATCCACCACATCAAAGGCGGAATCATCAACGTAACCATCCAGCAGTTAGGGAAATGTAAATCTAAGGAACATGAAGAATCAACAATTAAAGAAAACACGCAACAACTGTCATCACCAAAGATAAGAATCCTTCAAATAACTGAGTTCAGAGGCAGAGAATCTTGCAATCTAGCAGATAAAAAATTCAAAATAGCTGTGTGGAGGAAATAAAGATAGAAAAACACAAACGACAATTCAAAAAATCAGGAAAAAATACATGCGCAAAATGAGAAGTTTATCAAAGAGATAGAAAATATAAAAAAGAATGAAACAATAACTCTGGAACTGAAAAATTCAGTGAATGAAAAAATTCAACACAGGGAATTTGCAGCAGGGTAAATCAAATGGAAGACAGAATAAGCAACCTAGATGATAGGAATCTTGAAATAACCCAATTAGAGGTGAACAGAGGAAAAAAGAATGGAAAAAAAGTGAGTATTGAGATCTCTTGCCTCAAGAAGCTTAAATTCCAGCAGGGAAGCGAACACATCAGTTTCAGTACCAAAGGAAGCGCTACGGTAAAAGTGTGAAGAGGACTCTCTGCAAACAGAGTGGAGCAGAAAAGCAAAGCTGAGATATGGAGGTCTGAGAGGACTCTCTAGAGGACACTTGCAAACTGATGCTTTTACCAGGGTGGAAAACCATCCGGCAGACCTGCATGTGAAGCCTCATTTCAGCCTCATCTTTTAAACAAAGACAATATTACCTACCTACCCTGCTGAACTGTGGTAAAAAGTAAAGGTACCACAGATGACCAGCATAAAGGGATTATTCTAGATCCATTAAGTAAATGATAGTTCACTATTTTCTTTCTTTCCTTTATTCTTTTTTCTTCCACTTCTTTCTTTCTTTCTCCCTTTCTTTCTTTCCCTCTTTCTTTTTTGTTTTCTTTCCTTTTGTCTTTTTATCTATCTATCTATCTATCTATCTATCTATCTATCTATCTATCTAATCTCCCTGCCTCCCATCCATCCATCCATTTTGCCTACCTGCCTCTTTCATACCCTGTCCTCACCCCACCCATTTATTATACAGGCTAACTTTGAACATGGTCACTGAACTGAACCTTGGAAACCACTATTGTCCCTCTAGCTTAACTAGTCCATCCTGTCGTGCTACCTGATCAGAAAACATCCTCTTTGGCCTGTGGTAACTTCAGACAGGGATTCCAAGAGAAGTCCAGTGAAAGCAGCCAGAGAGGGCAAAGGAGTTTTGGGGCCTCACCAGGTCCTGAGTGGTGACTCAGGGCTGACTTTCAGAGCTGATACAAATCGTGTTGTTTCTCTTCATCACTCTTCTGCAAAAATCAAAACTAGCTCTCTCGTGGTTGTTTTTTCTCTCCTCTGCTCCAGGTCACTTCCTTTTGGCCAGTGATCTAGCCTGGTCTTGAGCAGATCCAGACAGCTGTTAACTGCTCAGGAAGCAGAGTGGGGAGGGCTATTGTTGGTTTTTCCCCTCAATAAATAAAAATAAATGTATTGCTGTATCTTGCTTCCTGCAGGGTGATTGTTTTCCTGTGCAGGAAGAGGCTGTGTGTGGAGGTCCTAGGGCTAATTTCATTTGCACCTTCAGAGGTCAGGTTATTCCCTGCAGACCTCGACAGGCCGAGAGCAACACCAATCCAGGCCGGACCCACTGGTGTCCCAGGTGGAGCCTTTCCCCTACCTGAACTTTCTTGTTGACCCCAAAAGAAAGAAAAAAGTTTTAAAAACAGCCCTTAAAGATAATAATTGGGGTTTGTGTGGAATCAGGAATTATTCAGCATAATCCCTTCTCTGAACTTTTAAGGCACAGCAGAGTATCTATCTCTTCATGGGATTCTGCCCCTCCCCATAGAAAAGCGAAGACTCCCATGAACACTTCTGCCCCCTCTGAAATGCCAGGGAAGCTTCCTTTCTTCTCCTTCTATCCCCGACTTGTCCTTTTTCAGGAAGAAGGGGTGTTGAAGAATCACTGTCCCTACCAGGTGAGCTCTGGTGTATGGGCCTTTCTTTTACCTCTTCCTTCCTCCCTTTTCTTCCCTTATCCCCCTCCCCTCACCCCCCAGCAATAAGCACTGCAGAAGAGGCCTTCAGCCCACCATTGTCCTAATCCCATTGTCCTGATCCATCGCACCCACCTGTTGTCACCTGCAGTGGGACAGACCTGCACTCCTACAGCTCTAGTTCAAGGGGAGCTAGGAAGAAGCCCTGACCACTCATTCTCTGAGCTGGCTTAACCGCTGCAGAAGTTAATACTGCATTTGACATTTTTCCAGCTCCTTTGAGTCTGAAAGGGAGGGAGAGTGATTAATTAGCCTCTCTACACTAGGCAGCACTTTATGTAGTTGTAATATAATTAGTTATGTAACCATTATTTTTTCCCCCATAGACGGTGAGAAATTTGAAGGCAAAATCCATGAGTCACTTCGGATTTCCACGGCATCCAGCACAGTGCCTTGTGTGCAGTGCAAATCTCTTTAATGATTAAATTAAATCATGAATGACATACAATTTCAAAGTTTAGTTAATAAATTTATTATATGTGAATAAATATGTATATAGATAGTCTATATCTATGTTCTATAGCTATTCTATATCTATATACTATATGTGAATACATTTATTCACATATAGTATATGTTGTACTATATATATGTATATATGTGTGTGTATATATAGAGTATATATAATAGTACATTAAAAGTAGAAGATGGAAAATGTTTATAAAATCACCATAATCTCACAAACTAAATATATATAGTAAAGTAAATTTTTTACTCTATTTTCTCTCATATAATTATTTGTATATTTATTTACATTTACTTGGTTACAGTCAGTATATTTTACATACACACACACACAATTGTATATATTTTTATCTGGCTATATGGTTTTGTTTGTTTTTAAGACTATTTTTAGGGCAGTTTAACATTCACAGAAAAATTAAGAAGGTGCAGCGATTTCCCACTTACTCCTGGCCCCACACATGCATAGCCTCCCCCATTATCAACACCCCCCCCCACCACAGTGGTGTATTTATTGCAACTGATGAACCTACACCGACACATCATAATCACCCCAAGCTTACAGCTGACACTAAGCTGGTGTTGTACCTTCTGTGGGCTTGGACACAATGCATCCATCATCACAGTATCATATAGTGTTCTCACTGCTCTGAAAGTCTTCTGTGCTCCACCTATTCATCCCTCCTCTCAAGGATACACATTTCGTGCATCCTTCCATCCATCATCCTCCCCTCCATCAGGCCTAACAATGGCTACATAGTATGTTACCCAGGGAATGCACTACAAGTTACAGAAAGGGTTTTCTACCTTTTGGATACTTAGGTTATTACTTTTTGTAATTAAAAATAATGATGGAAGAAATAGTTTTGTGCTTAACACTACTTCCAATTTTATTTGTTTATTTCTTTTATTTACTGCTTTATAATGGATTCTTAGAAAAGGAATCCCTATGCCAAAGGGGATGCATACTTTCCTACCTCTTGATACATACTGCCAAGTGGCTTTTCTAAAGCAGCACATCAACTTGTCTTGCCATCAGCTGTGCATGAAAGCGCCACTTTCACCAAGCTCTCTCCAGGACAGGGCATTCCAACTGTGAAAATTTTTTCAAATTTTATAGTTCAATAAATAGTTACTTTATTCCACAAAAGTTTACTGAGTCTATAATGCCTTAGGGGTAGAGACAGAAAATTTCTCAGCCCTCACAGGATTCCCAGTATAAAGAGGAATAACAAAAACAGAAACCACAGTACTTTCCAAAATCCTCAAATCTGTAACTATTGGCTGAGCTCTGGTGGGTTAGGAGCCCTTGCTGATGAGGGACCACTCGTGACAGACTCAGAGGAAAAGTGCTTCGTTTTCTGGCTGACTGCTACTAGGTCAACACTGCTACACTTGCAAAGAACATGGTTAAATTAAAAAATAACAATAATAATAAATGGTCCCCCAAAACTTCTGCATTAAAAAAATTACTATAAGCAAAGTAAAAAGACAAAGGCCAAGTAGGAAAAATATTTGAAATATGTAACAGAGACAAAGGACTAATATATAAAGAACACCTAGAAAGAGCATGAAGAAAAAGACAACCAAGAATGAAAATAAACAAGAGATATGAATAGTTGACAGAATAATAAATACGAATGATACTTAACCACATGGAAAGGTGCTCACCTACAGCAGGGGTCATGCACTGCGGGTCACAGGCCAAACCTGACCGGCTGCTGTGTTATTATTGGCCAGCACACACGTTCATGTACGGTTTGTCTGCGTCTGCTTCAAGCTACATTGCAGAGCTGAATAGTTAGAACAGAGACTGAAAAGCTTGCAAAGCCGAAAACATGTATTACCTGACCCCTTATAGAAAAAGCTTGCTGACCTATGGCCTAGAAAAACAGAAATGAAATGACATTAGGATGTTATTTTTCATCTGTTGGACAGTCAAAAACCCAACAGTTTGAAAATACTGTTGCAGGGCCGTCTCATATGTCTTATAAAGAGTAAACTGATAAAAGCCTTTAAATTACAGTTTGGCAATATTTACCTTAATTATATATACAATTTGATTCAAGGATTCCATTTTTGGAAACTCATTCTTCAAAAGCACTTGAACATGTGTGCAAGCAACAGTTATTTATTGCCAACAACACCACTGCCCTGTTTGAAAAGATCTGTACTCCCACGAGCTATTATAACAAACTGGTTAAACTACGCTTCATATATACAGTGGAACAATAGGTAGTTGTCTAAAAGAATGCGGAAGATCTCTATACACTGATATGACCTTTCTTCATGATATACTGTTCAGCGGAAACAGCAAAGTACAAAATGGTATGTATGCCGTGCTACCTATGCATGAAAGGGGAGAGCTTGAGATTACATGTTCACATCTTCTCACACCTGCACAAAGAACTCTGGAAGGATGCAGAGAAAGCTGGTGGGGGGTCAAATTGGGAACTGGCTGGAGGGGGCAATTCTGGGTAAGATTTCGTACCGTGTGTCTTTGTACATGGTTTGATCACTGACCCTCGTTCACACACTGATGTGATGTGCATCTAACAGGGGCCAGGCACTCTTCTACAGGCTGAGGACACAGCGGTCAAAAAGGAAGAGAAGTCTCTGTGCTCCTTGGAACTTACACTCTAACAGAGGAGGTAGATAATAATCCAGATAAATGAAAAAAAAAAAAAAACAGGCAGTATGTGGGGCGGTGATGAGGAGTAACAGGAACAGAGGGTAGGAGGGTATGAAGTGCTGAAGGGGAGGAGGTAGACAGGGTGACCAGAGCAAGCCATCCCAAGAAAGTGACTTTTAGGGAAAAATCTAAAGGAAATAGAAGAGTGGGTCTGGAGAATGTATTATCAATTTAAAACATTAAATTAAGTTAAAAAGAGAATGTATTATCAATTCAAAACATGAAATTAAAAAGATTCCATTTAATCTTTCTAGCAATCCTATTAGATGTTATTTGGGGGGGTTATTGTTATTAACAAGATTATCACTCTCATGATAAATTATTGTATTATGATTCCAAGGGATTGCTTGCAAATAGTTGAAACAAGACATGCTAACTCCTACAATCCAAGCGGGAAACGAAACATGTGTGGGGAGAGCACATGAACACCTGAGCCAGGGCAGGGCCTGAGGGGAAAAGACGGCAGTGAGAAAGATCTGACAACCAGAAGTGAGTTAGCCAGTCCAGGACTGGAGGGAAGAATTTTTGGAGAAAAAAGTGACTGTACGAAAGCAGAGAGGTGAGAAAAGGCCTGACAAGTGGTTCAAAAAGACCAGAGTGAGGCCTTCGTCAGTGAGGACGATAAATAATTAAGGGCATGGAAACGTCAAGGTCAGGCACTAAAAGCTCCGGGAAGGCATGTAAGAAACTGCAGATTGGAGGACCGCAAACCATTCCCAAGTCCCTTCTCCTCTGCTTTCCTCTACCTAGAGCGTGTTAACTTTGGCACCATTGAGATCTAGAACCAGTTAACTCTTTCTTGTGGGGACTTGTCCTGTGCATTGTAGACTGGTTTTCTACCTGCATGATATCAGCAGCAGCCACCCCTCGCTGCTCCAGGTATGGCATTGCCTGAAATCCCCTTGCAGAGCCAAGTCACTCCCGGTTATGGACCACTGGTTTGGAGGTTAAGAATGCTAAAATTCTCACTTTCCTTGCCTCCCTTGCAGCTAGAGATAACCATGTAACACAGTTCTGGCCAATGAAATACAAGAGTAGGTCTACTGGAACATCCTTCCTTTTACTGCCTTGTTTCGATCTTGAATGAAGACAAGAACAATAGCAGCCACTTTGCAGCCATCACAAGCATAAAAGAAAAGCCATGAGAATCACATAGATGTTGGCCCTTACGTTTTTTGGGCCCATGGACTAATGCTGGCAAGCACCTACTTCCAGACTTCTTATTTTGTGAGTAAGATAACTCCTATGTGTTTAGGCCACCCAGTGGAGGTTTTTTATTATTCGCAGCTGCAAACCATTCTGACTACAAAATTATAGATAGTGAGTATCCATTAAAGGATTCTAAAAAAATAAAAAAGAATTTAATCGTCACGCCTACATTTTGGAAAGATCATTTTGCTACAAAATACTGTCTATGAAGCAAGATTGGAAGCAGGTAATGGAAAAATGCCGTTATGGCAAGACTGACAAATACATGATGGGACCTGAACCATCCATCTCAGTGGTGGTGGGAGTAAAGTGGGGGGATGCATCTGAGGGACACTGAGAGGCAGAATACACCAACCCTGAGCAGTTGGATACAGGCAGTGAAGACAATGCTTCAAAGGTGAAAAATCATTTTTCTGGTACAGGTAATACCCCAAGTGCTACACAAAAGAAGAAGCATGTTTAAAGAAAAGAACAACGTTCTATTCTAGGTGAACTTGATTTAGAAATGCTTATGGCACATCCCAGTGGTAATGTTAAAAGCATTTATATACACAGCTTGTCAGAAAAGAGTAAGATAGTTGTAATTTTTTTAGAATATATGTATGATAGATTTCAAATTTTTAAATGCCAGTAAAATAATATTACATACTACACAAGTTCTATCAATGAAATATGAAATACTTAAAATATAGCTAAGCAAAAGAATATTTAAAAATACAGATGCTCATACAACCTTGGCTTCTAGGTATAATTTACAGTAAAATGTGGTTATATATACCTGTAAATACACACATATAAATGGTATTATACTGCAAATGCTGAATAGTAACAGGCCTTATTCACTTAATAGCATACCATCTTTCTACTTCAACTAATAGTCACCCATTTTTCTGATTTTTTATTATTATAAACAGTGCTGAGATCAATTGTCTTCAGTAAAATTTTTGTTTTATCAAAAAAATTTTTTATCAATTTTTTTATGTTTTAAAACATAAAACTGTTTTATGTTTTATCAGCAATTGTATTTTTTTCTTTGCCAAATTGTTGATTCTTGTGCTTTGTCCATTTTTCTTTGGTATATTTACCTTTTATTGATTTGTAAGAGCTCTTTATATGTTATAAACTTTAATCCTTCATCAATGCTACATTTTTTCCTTAGTTTGCATTTGCCATTTAATTTTAAGGTACGTTTTGATCAACTGATATTTAAAACTGTTGGACTACTCATGGTTTGAATTGGCTATTGTGAGAATGGGAACAGGATGTAGCCCAAGGCAAATACCAAGCCTGAGCTTTATTTGAATGGCTCAGCTGAGGCTGGACAGCATGAATTTCCCATGACTTCAGTCTGCAAAGTTGTAGCAGCCTTTGGTCATTTGCATGCAGAGAGAAAGGAAAGAAGATTTGTTTTGCGTTTGTATTTCCTTGATTTAATCAGAAGCAGGATTCAGGAATAAGAGTTTTGTGCAGTAGCAATTGTGTTGCTGAAATACTGGGGCCACCTGGGACAAGATAAGGGGCAACGGATGTGCTGGGAAGGGTCGGGGTCCCCCTGTAGTTGCAGACCAGATGCAGCAGAATGAGAACATGAGAGAGGTGCAAGATTAGGAAATTTTCCACAATTTTCCTCTATCAAACTTTTCTTATTGCTTCTGATCCATTCTATCTTCTCTTTTTAAAACAATAAGTATTTGTACCTGTTCTATTTCCTGTCTTATTTTACAGTTTCTTTATTCATTTCCTTTATAGTCAGGCAGTGTGCCCCACCACATGCAGAATCAATTTTCCACTGTCAAGTCTAACGATTGGATCGAACACAGTTTAGCCATTCTACTTTCCATTTCCTGACCTTCTCTTTTTATCTTAGCCTGTACTTACTTAAAAGAAGCCTTGTCTTCCTGCATCTCAAGCAATATTTAATTCCAGAATATGGGGTGGAAAGGAGAAAAGTTGGAGAGAGAACAACAGGGCCGTGCACCCGTTCAGCCTTTACAAGATCACAAGACACACAGGCAACACCAGACCATTCAATGAGTTACCACGCTTGATGGTCACAGCTCAGGGTCACACTGGGCACAGTGGAAAACTGCCAGATACCTCCCGTGCTAACTAGAGTTCTAAAGTCCAGTACCCTGTTTGCTCTTGCCATAGATATTTTCTTGCAACAGCTGATTTGCAAGTGTCTTTTGAGTCCTTAAAAACTCCAGACCACCTTTCGGACACTCAGTTCGTTTTGGGGGTATCTTCACTATAGAGTTGAGGGACCATTGTTCAATTGCTTATGGACACTTGATACCAGAGTTTCAAACATCTCTTTCCCAGCTCCAGTGTTCTTTTTCCCAAGAACAATCTGGAAGAGCAAAGCCGAGCTTCCTCTGATGTGTGGGTACAAGGGGAAGGAGGCCCCAGGCACTGGGCTCAAGCCACCTATGGAGGGAGGTGAGGAGCTGACTAAGGCCCTGGGCCTTTGCTGATGTGAGAAGGAAGAAGCCTAGACTTGAGGCGTGCGTAGACCCCATGCTGCACCCGGCCAGACACAAAGGAGGCAGCCCTGTGTGCCCTGAGAAGTCGTCCTTTCTAAAATCAGGTGGTACATCATCCGAGATCGTCTCACAGAGAGAAGACATGAGCTTCCTTCATCCTCAACAAATTGGAAAAGCTCCAATTTTCCATTGTAAATGGAAATGTCAGGTTTTGCACCACATATCAAGCCCAGCTAGAGAACTAGAAAGCAAAACCAGTCCTTGCCTACAAAATATCCAATCAGAACTTTAGTCCCTTTCTTTTTATACAACATCCAGAGACTTCAGGTAAAACAAAACAAAGTAAAAACAATGAAAAAAAAAAAAACCCTAAAAACTCACTCAAGCAATATAAAATCAGTTTGGTCATTCCAACCAGTAAGCATTTTCATGTATTTTTCTTAAATTTCAGCTTGGTTCAGAGGTGTTTTTAAATGGCTTCTCTTATATGAAGAGCGTCTGTTCTCAAACAATGATCTTGAGGAGAAAGTCAGCCATCTTCCTACAAGAGTACAACTTTGACCCAAGGATGGAGCAAATAGTAGACTCTCCCCAGCTCGCATACCCTCTGTGTTTCCATGTCTCCCAGAAGGTTATCAAATGCCTCACATAGCACACAGCCCCCAACACAGGTCACACACACACACACACACACACACACACAGAGAAGGGGGTGGAGAACCACACTGCACAGAAACAGCCAGGAGGAACCATCGGGTCTTTCGCATCAGAGTTAAATGCAGAATGACAGAAGCAAACAATAGCCCCAGGCTACATCATTCACTCTGTTAAGCCCCAAAGGAAACAAAGCATTTTCAGCAAGGTAAAGCTCTTGGCACTGCCCCCTCCAGGCATCTGCCAAATCAGAGAATGCCCTGCTTAATTCTCAAACCAGAAGACCTTGCATTTCAGAACTCCTCTCTTCAGACTGCATAGCACCTCTCTCCAGAATGTGCCCTGTCCCCAGCTCCAGGCCTCAGCCCTGGCCCAGCCGAGACTGACAACCTACCTGAGACAAAGGAATAGGCTGCTAGGATGTTGCTGAGTAAAGCCATGTCCACGCGCTGGGCAGTCAGAGGCTCCGTGCTGGGCGGAAGGGCAGCCTCCATGTGGCATCCAGAGGCGCCTCCTGGAGATGCTTCCACTGGGTCAGCGTGGCCCCCCTCCTCTTCTCTTCTGTTTGGGAACACAAAGTGACTGCTGAGAACACATTCTGCTCTCCCGAGGCTGTGTTCCAGGTAGTCTGGGCTCAAAACAAAGAGCCAGTCTCCCAAATGCCAGCCAGCCTCCCCAGCCAGGGATCTGGAGTCTTGTCCTTTGTGCTCTAATGAGCTTCTTGGCTTTCAAGGAAAAAAACCTCCTTATGTATCTGTTTTTCCTGACCTTTCTCCTTTCCTTTCCCCATATCCTCCCAACTCCCCATTCGGTCGCTTTTCCCTCACCTTTTCTGGTGCTTTTTATTGTATTCTCCCTGTTTGCCTTGGAGGCGCAGCCCACCCTCACTTTAATCGCTGCGCTGTAACCCCAAGCCCAGCTGGCTCTCTGCCTGGCTCTGCTTCCCCTGAACTGACAGCCCCGGTGGACTTTGATCAGCTTGCCTCACCCCACAGGTCACCAAATGTGTGTCCTTGGCCATGGGTGTGAGCTGGCCACTCCAGACCTGCTGAAGTAGGTCCTGTTCTAAAATGCCCCCAAGAGCTTGGGAGCTGGAGCCCACTCCCTGCACACAGATTCATGATTCCACCCGTGACTGTCACGGCCAGCCAAATACACACGCAGGGCCACAGACCGCCCACTGGTGGAGCCTCTGCGGCAGGGCTCGGCGCAGGCCCTAGGGTCCCAGTGTTCAGGGGCTTGGCCTCTGGCTGCGGGAGTGCATCACGTTGCAGCTGCGGCAATATCATTATTCAATTCACTCAGACAAGCCCTCGCAGAGCACTTGAAGGATGGAAGTGGAAAGAATCTTTTTTTTTCTAAAGATTTTATTTATTTATTTTTTGGAGAGAGAAAGAGAGGGAGAGGAACACTGATGCAAGAGAGAAACTGATCCAATCACACCAATGACCTTTTACTTTGCGGGAAGTCACCCAACCAACAGCCCCGTTGGTCAGGGCTGAGCAAAGACTCCTGATGACATTTATTCAATGATGCTGTGGGCTGAGGGCAGGACACTGAGTCACAGGGCGTGGGAGGATGTCAGGATGGGGAAAGCCAGAGAAGCAGAAGGCTCCAGTCCTCTCAGAGAAGCAGGGTCTCAGGTGGATCGCCAACATCGTCACAGGGGCCACACTTAGGCTCCTGAGAGCTGCTATCCCAGAGGTAGGTGGGATGTAGGTGGCAACAGAAAAGCCAACTCTCACTCTGCTAAGGGAGACCGAAAGGAAAGACAGGCCAACCTGCAGGTCAGAGAGAAATAACCACAAGGCCCTGGGAGCAGCCAGAGGCCCCGGGGAGGCAGGGTAAGGAGTGGGCGCCGGGCAGCGCTGAGAGGGGCCGGCTGCTGCCCCGGCTGCACTTTGCTGGGGCATGGCGTCGGCTTCAGCAAAGTGAATAGCTGGAATCACCCCCAGAGTTCAGAGACTTCTCTGCAGGTCTGGCGACTGCGGGACCCGGGAGGAGTGTGAAGGCACTGGAAAGTGGCTGAGTGTGTGGTGGGACAAGGCCATCTCAGACCCGTTCCCTGCTATGGATCCCCACTAATTCTACCAGGGAGCAAATCTCATCATTTCATTTCTAGGAGTTTTGCAACAGTCTCCTCCCTAGCCCTCCTGCTAACACCTACTTCCTGCTCAGTCGAGTACCTACTCTCACCAACAGGGTCGTCTTTATGAAGCACAAATCTGATCACTCCACCCCACAGCCCAGCCCTTCAATTAACCTCCATTAAACTTCTTAGTACAACACACATCCACTTTAAAACAATCTGACCCCTACCTCAGTTCCTAATTCGTCTCCTGCCCGAGTCTACACCCACACACGAATACAGATACAAGCCTAATGCCTAACGCTCCAACAATATCAGGTTATTTTTCATTCCCCCAATATACTAAGCTCTTTTACCTTTCATGTGTTTGATTATTCTCTTCCTTTTACCTGAAAGCCCACCTCCCCTTTTCTGTCTGGCAAATATTTTAAGGGAGAATTTAAAAGTCCTATGGCAGTCCTCAAGTCCCAGTGACTTCTTTTGAAGAAATCCATTCTAAAATTCATATGGAGTCTCAAGGCATCCCAAACTGCCAAAACAATACTGAAAAGGAACTCAGTTAAAAGTCTCACACTTACTGTTTTCAAAACTTATTTCAAAGTTACAGTAATCCACCCTGGCCAATGTGGCTCAGTTGGTTGGAGTGTCCTATGCACCAAAATGTCAGTGGTTCAATTCCCCATCAGGGCACATACCTAGGTTGTAGGTTCAGTCCTTGGTCAGGGCACGAGAAGGAGGCAACCAATAGATATTTCTCTCTCACGCTGATGTTCCTTTCTCTCTCTCTCTCTCTCTTCCCCCCTCCCTCCCTCAAATCAATAAATGTACACTCAAGCAAGGATGGAAAAAACAAAAAGCTAGAGTAATCAAGACAGTGTAGTACCGGCATAGACAGACGTGTGGGTCAATGGAATACAGAGCCCAGCAAGAAACCCTCATGTGTGTGGTCAAGTGATTTCAAGCAAGGTGCAAAGACCTTTCAAGAAGGAAAGAGCAGTCTTTTCAACAAATGTTGTTGACAAAACATTTGCATGGGGATTTGCAAAAGAACTAAGTCGAGCCCTTGCCTTACACCATATTTAAAAAATTAAAAATGGATCAAGGACCTAAACATGGAACTAGAAGTATAAAACTCTCAGAAGAAAACATAGGGGTAAGTTCCATGACACCGGGTTTGACCAAAATTTCTTAGCTATGCAAGGCAACAAAAGTAAAAACAGATAAATTGAACTATCACAAAACTTAAAATTTCTGTATGTCAAAGAACACAATCAACAGAGTGAAAAGACAACCCATGGACTAAGAGAACATATTTCCTAACCATATATATGACAAGGGGTTAATATCCAGATTATATAAAGAACTCCTACAACTTACTTATCAACAACAAAAACAAACAACCTGATTAAAAACAAATGGACAAAGAATTCGAATAGACATTTTTCCAAAGGAGACATACAAATGATCAATAAGCACATGAAAAGACACTCAAAACATTACTAATCACCACGAAAATCCAAATCAAAACCACAATGGACACCACCTCATACCCATTAGGATGGCTACTATCAAACAAATAAACAAAGAAAGAAGAAAATAAGTGCTAGAGAGGATGTGAATAGGACCCCTTATATAGCTGATGGAAAGGTGCTCTAGATAACAGTATGACAATTTCTCAAAAAATTAAAAATAGAATTACCATAGGATCGGCAATTCCACTTCAGGGCAGAGATCCCAAACAACTGAAAACAGGAACTCAAACAGGTATTTGTGTACCAATGATTATGAAGCACTACTTACTCACAGAAGCCTGAAGACAGAATCAATCAAAGTGTCCAGCCGCAGGCGGATGAATAAATAAAACGTGATATATATATACAGTGAATTGTTACTCATACAGAGCCTTCTCAGGGAAGGAAATTCTGACGCAGGCTACAACCCAGATGAACCTTGAGGTCATTATGCTAAGTGACATAAGCCAGTCACAAAAGAATAAGTACTGGGCAATTCCACTTACGTGAAGTACCCAGAATAATCAGATTCAGAGAGACAGGACGTAGAATGGTGGTTGTCTGTGGCCGGGGGCAGAGGGGAACGGGAAGGCAGTGTTTAATGGGTACAAAGTTTCAGCGTGGCAAGAAGACAAGCATGTCTTCAGGTGGGTGGCACAACAGTGTACATGTACTTAATACCACCGGACTCTGTACCTAAAAGTGCTTAAGATGGTAAGCTTTCTAGTTTGTATTTTACCATAATCTTTCAAATGAATAATATTAAAAAGAAGGTGTTGAGGAGGTACAGCAGGAAGTTTTGAAGGTTACTTCGTACAGAGGACCCTGACATCCAACTTTGGTGTTAACAGGAGTGGCGGCAGGCTTATCTTGTAGTGATACTGCAACTGAAGAAATCCTAATTTACACCACACTGTGAATATAGCCTAATTTTTAGTAAAAGATGTTATGTCATTTATCAAATATTGGATAGTAAGCAATTTTAATCTATCACATTTATAGATTAACAGAAAAAACCACATCATTAAATGTAAAACTGTTTGTGTACAATTTAATCAAAATTCATGATTTTAAAAAAGTCTACAGCAGTGAAGCACCAAATCCTCCAAACTCTTGGGCTATCAAAGGATCCAAACTTTCCTCTAACATCACACCTACAGTATTGTAATTAGAGTTATCCATTTACATGTTTGTCTCCCACGCCGCCGAAGAGGCATCTTATAAATCTTTGTTACGCAAGTACCTAACTTGGTGCCTAATGAAAGGAGGTTCTAAGTAAATGCTGGCTGACTGGCTGGCTGGAAAACAAAAAGAGTGCTCAGGCATGAGCTTGTCTCGGAGGGTATTTCTGGACGGGTCTGAGAGGGAGCCACTTTGAAAGGATACCAAGGCTGACTGGCTCCGAGTGGGGTGCCAAGCACAGCACTTCCTCAGGACTAGGAGGGCCACATGCAGGATGGAACTTTCCTGTGGCACAGAAATTCTTCCTGCCCCTCCTCATGGCCCAGGTGCTAATTGAGAGGGCAGCAAGAGCCAGAGGTAAGAGGAAGAGGGACAGAGAAGGCTGGCCAAGCATGAAGAAAGACAACCTCTGGATGGTCCATCCAAAAGAGCAACCAGGAAGACCCTCTGTGGTCCATGTGGCACAAGTCAGCCTAGAGCAGGGGTCAGGACATCCCTACCGTAAGGGTCAGGGAGTAAGCATTTCAAGTTTTGAGGGCCAGATAGTCTGTCTCAACTACTCAACTTTGCCACTGAGGTACCAAAGCCACCACAGATGATATGTAAACAAACGTGTGGCTGTGTTCCAATAAAACTTTGCCTTTCAAAATAAGTGGTGGACCCAGTTAGGCTCATGGACCATAGGCTGCTG